TGAAATGCCTGTTTTCGTACCATTTTGTGGGAGTCGGTTGGGACCCTTAATGATGTGCTTTGAGGGTGTATTTGTTATGAATGTGAACCTTGAGTTGCCTAATTTTTCATGGATGTGCACCCCCACTCAGATTAGGCTTGATTTATTGAGTTTTTGACCCCCGAACCATGGATGAAACCATGGTTAGGCTGTTTTCTATTCTCAAGTGTGGGGGTGTGATTAACATTTTTCTTGGCTCTCTTGGTTCCACTTTGGATTGTTCTTTTGCAGGACGATGACGAAGCCCAACCTCAGGCACCCGTTTATTCAAGATTTGAAAAGGGGGCCCCACCAGGATCGTTTTAAGAGCGTCTTGGCCTGCAAATTTGGGCAGCATCATTGCTGGTTCAAGCGCGAGTTGGAGAAGCTGAACTGCTACGAGCACTTCTCCGCCATAGTCATCAACCACCCTTGGCGCCGCCTCCTCCAAATTCGAGAGAAGGTCTACCACGAGCTCGTACTTGAGTTCTACACGACCTTCAAGCATGCAGCCACTGACGATTGGAAGGACGGAGCAGCCGTCCAGTTCAGGCTCGGCGGTGCACCCCGATCCATGAGCTACTAGGAGCTGGCGACTGCCCTCGGCCTCAGCCTGGTCGATGACAGGGACTACATCACCGAGCTTCACGAGCCAGAGGGGGTGAACTTCCAGACGCTGTACACCCGCCTCGCTCGGCCAGGCCAGCGTCCCTTCTCGGCGGGGAAGACGAAGGCCAACACATTGCAGCTCGACAACTGCATCCTCCACCACATGCTGGCCAAGTATTACACTCCGGACCTCGGACAGTGCCAGCGCCATCACCAAGCGATCCCTGTACCTCATTAAGTCTATGCGCCAGAGGGATCATCCTCTCCACTTGGGCTCAGTGGTGGCGAGGACCTTCGACAAGAGTGCTTCCGAGCTGAAGAAACTCCACTGCACCCCCCTTATCACCCGCCTGGCATCCTACTTCGAGATCTCCCTGCAGGGCGACACCAGTGCCTTTGGCGAGTTTACAATCAGTAAGATGCACCTGCTTCGGGAAGAGCGAGGTGTTAAGTGGATCGAGGGGTTTCCACAACCCCAGATCCCAGAGGAGGTCCAGCCGGAGGTTCCCGAGGGTGCGGTTGATGAGGAGGTGGAGCCCGAGGAGGTGGATGTTGCTGCTGCCTCCCGACCCACCACCTTCGAGTACGGGGGGTGGCAGCTCCGCTTTCCCCGGGCAGGACTACTTCGCCTACCAGTTCGAGCAGCTGCGTCTCCAGAACCAGCAGATCCTTGACCAGCAGCTCCAGTTCCAGCAGCAGTACGCGGCTCACCAGGCCGAGTACCAGCACAGGATGGCTGCTTATGATGAGCGCCTAGACATGCTGGCCACCCAGCAGGGGGTGACATTGGCTCATATCGAGCGAGAGAAGGCTCGATCTAGGCGCATGCAGGAGGTCCAGCAGCTCCTGCTCCAGCTGCTGCCGGGCGAGCAGCCCGTCTGGAGGACTCCCTGGGAGGACTCTCCATTTCCACCTCCCCCAGCTGATGGTGATGACGCCTTCATGGATGACATCGACCTGGATAACCTTGGCGACTGAGTAGGCTGTACTCGTTGCCCATCTCAGTGTGTTTTTTTTTTGTTTTAGACTTTTGTGTGTTTGCTCCATGTGTGAGGAGCTTGAACTTAGTGTCGTTTGTTTTTTGTTTTTGTTTCTCTTTGGTGGATTGTTTATTTTGTAGCCATCTGGGCTAACACTTATCCCTAACGCACAGTGTGCTAGTGTGTTCTTGGTGTTCGATTCGTGCAGAACTGCCCATCTTCCCGTTTGTTTCTCGCTGACTGGTCCACTTCCAGTCCCCAGTATTTCAATCCGGTAACATCGTTCCCCTTATCTCTCCCTCTACTCCATTGAGGGCAATGTCGTGCTTAAGTGTGGGGGGGGGGGGGTGCTTTGTATCGGTTGGAATCTATATTTGAGTGCTTGGAGCCTAGTCCGCTGTCCGAATCTTACGATTTGAGGGCTCCAAGTACTGCTGTTTGATCATATTGGCACTGTGTTTTGTTTGATGAATTGAATGGTTTTTGGATTGATGCATGACAGCTTGATTGTGACTAGGACAACCTATGATGAGGACTGAGACGTGCAGTAGAATTATGTAGGGGTTCAGTTTTTCAACTGTTTGCTTACCAACTGTGACTTGGATTGATCACTTGTTCTTGACAGTCGTTTATGCATCTAGTTCAGGGTATCAGAATGTGAGATAGAGCATATAGGTAGCCATGTGAGATTTGAGCCTGCTCGTTTCTTTCTTGTGCGATAGATCCCTCTTCCATGATGTGTAGCATTCACGTTGTCACTAGCTAAGATGATGGGGGCATAGGATTAGCCCATGACCAAATTGACTGTCCTGATGTGTCATATCCCCTAGTCAGCCCCTTTGAGCCGTGTGTTATCCTTTCTTTTGGTCTATAATGAAAAATCACCCTTTTGCATCTTTTAGAAGGTTCCACAAAGTGGTTTTTACATACTCTCTGCTGTTTCTGCTAAATTTAATGTGAGTGTTGGAGTTAGTGCTTAAAAGTTGGGCATGTGTTTGAAATATGTGCAGAAGTGGTGGCTCTCTTAAGAAATGAAAAGAAAATGAAAGAAAAACAAAGAAAAATTGAAAGCAAAAGAGAACCACTACCAAAAATCTGAATAATGCCCATTAAGTAGTGTTTCTTAGCAGTCTGGCTTGGAAATGCTAACATTTATACCTCCTTCGCTTTTGTGCTCTTGAGATATTGAGTAATGCAGAATAGCAAAAAGGAAATACTGGTTTGTTTGATTGTGATTGTGTGGGTTTGGAAATGTGGAACCTTGTGCTATGAATACTTCCACCACCTAAAAGGCCTTTTCCCCATGTCCAAGACCCTAGCCAGTCATTTGAACCTGTGTCTAAGACCTCCTGATTAGTTAGTGGTGACACCCCATATGTGAACTATAGCATTTAGAGGCTGCCATCATGGTGAAGAGTGGTTAGGGATTGAGAGAAGTAGCATGCGCATTTTTCGCATCAAATCGTCCTGACCCCACTGGTCGAGAGTGAGTGATTCATTTTCATATTCTATATACTCTTGTACCCCGGTGAGGACCTAGATTGCTCGGTCTCTATTCTGATGTCTTGATTTGGATGCATGAGGTGACTGTTTTGAGTAAGTGGTTGAGTCAAGTCTAGGTTAGTTGGTGAACAGAAGGGAGACTCTTCCTTTACTCGATTTTGCTGCACTCGAATGTCCTTTGTGGTGGTTTTCCAGGTTGCTATTGAAGTTGTTCAGGTGTTGATGTTTGAAAACCAGTACGATTCGCGTGTTCTGTGCCTTTATGACTTGTCCCCAATGTTGGTTGATTGAAAAATGTAAGCTTACCTTGTGTCTGACTTGGTTTGCTAGGGGACAAGCAAACGGTTAAGTGTGGGGGAGTTTGATAGACCGTTAATTACACATGTTTTACCCCTGTTCTTACACCGTTTGAGATGTGGTTTCTCGTGTTTTAGGCCGATTTCACTCTAGGTTGTGCTTGTTTGTGATATTTCGGGTCCTAGTACGTGAATGGAGGCCTGGGAGCGAGTTTGGGGTCGATTGGACGAAGATCGGGCGCGAGGCAAGCCGATGAGGAAGCCACACGGGCACACACAAACCCCACACGGCCGTGCAAGTGACCAATGTGGCCGTGTGGGATTGTGCGAGCCTTCACACGGGCACAAATAACTTCCACACGGCCGTGTGAAGGAGCAATGTGGCCGTGTGGAATTCCACGAGAGCAAACACGGGCAGAGCAGAATTTCCACACGGCCGTGTGACCCTGGCCGTGTGGGAAGCCTGAAATCCAACTAATCGATACGCCGCGTTTTGAGTCACACGGGCAACTGGGTGAGCCACACGGCCGTGTGGCCTGCCCGTGTGAGTCGGGAAATCTTGGTTTTTTCACCCAATTCCGAGCCACAAGTGAGAGAATCGGATTTTCAGAGTAAAAACAGAGCCCTAGAGAGAGAAAGTGCGAAGAACACATCCTAGAAGCTATCTTGGAGCTGGGTTTCATCAAATCGAGCTTGGAGATCGTCATAGGAGTGGAAATCATCATCCCAGAGCAGATTCTTCCCATTGTTATGAGTATGACTGCTTTGTATCCTGTTTTCCTCTCTCTCTCTATGGAGTAGAACCCTTCTCTCACTTTGGTATGAAGAACCCTAGTTCCTTGTGTTAGGGATTTGATTGTAATGATTTGGGATGATTATACTGTTTGGTTTTAATCGAATGATGCATGTTTTATTGAATTGATTGAAGTCTGATCAGCTTTTCTTGATTTCTGCTGCAACCTGAGATAGATAGAATCTGATTAGGTTGTTAGAGCCTCTTCATTCGATAGTAGGAGATTGGTTATACGAGAGTTAGCATGTTTACTGCTTTGTACTGGAATCCAATTCCAGTAGTGGAGTTCTGTGTTCATAGCATCAGCTTTCTATCCCGGTGAAGACTAGTCGTCTGCCGGGTAGTTAGACTGAGAGGGCTTGGTCAGCTTAAGAGATGTCAAGCTACTGTCGGATCTTCCGCAGTCTAATCAACAGTGAATCAACCCAGGGCAATTACATTTGAACCTAACTAAGGATCTAGGGGGACTCATTCCCGAGTGACTCTTTCCTGCTTTAGAAAACCAAACCATTTCCTGCTTTCTTACTGCTTTTAGTTTAAACAATAATCACTCGACTTAGTTGGCTAGATAATAGATAATCACGGAGTAAGCAGTAGATCTAGACCCCGGGTTGATAATAGAACTTGCCTGTTACTGCATTCCCGGACAGCGATTACACTTGGTCGCAGTTTGGTGTTGTGTTTTGGCGTGTCAAATTGAATTAATATAGTTTTGTGCATTAATTATAGGCTGGTGATCTACCTTACCACATTCGTCATACGGGCAATTTAGTTCTAAACAATCCACTGTACCTGCCGTATCTCGTCGATGCCGGCTTGTCTAGTGTTCTGCCACTAGCCCCTCTTACCGGTGATCCGGGTTTAATAACTGCGCTCGTAGAGCGTTGGCGACCGGAGACATCGACATTCCACATGCCGTTCGGTGAGGTGACGATCACCCTAGAGGACGTTGCAACACTCACCGGATTAGCGATCGACGGTGATGTCGTCGTAGTAGACATACCAGACGAGGACTGGTCGGCTATGTGTCTTCGACTGTTAGGACAGGCTCCTACTGATCTTGGTGGCGGCGTCATCCGGATTACTTGGCTCAGGGAGACTTTCGATGAGCTACCGCTTTCTGCATCACCCCAGACGACATAGTAGTTTGCAAGAGCGTATGCGCTGTCTCTGATGGTAGGTGTCTTGTTTTCCGATCGGTCTGGAGGTTCAGTTCGTCTGCAGTACCTACTTTTGGTGGAGGATTGGCGCAGAGCGGGGAGGTTTGCTTGGCGCTGCAGATGACGACATCTTCTTCACTAGGTGGTCACTTTGGTAGATGGTCCGCCTTGCTGATGATCTGGACGTGGGAGCGGTTTCCTCATACATCACCACTACATGCGGCGACGGGTGCGAAGAGTGCCACGTGGCCTTCGGTGGCTTCCGGCCCACACCCGTCAGCATGGAGATCAGTTCTACTTGTACAAGCTGTGGTTTGACGAGTGCACGACATTCGTGGTTAGTATATAAAATTTCGTTTTATAGAATAGTTTTAATAGATTTGTTATAGATTTAGGAGTAATTATGTGACCAATCCTTGTGTGCAATGGCGTCCGTACTTTCATAGAGGTCAGGACTACAGCGGTACTGTGATCCAGTCCCACACGTTTCGAGCAGTAGTTCCGCTGATCTGCTTCTCATCGCAGATGTGGCATCATCCAGATCGCGTGCTCGGACAGTTTGGGATGATTCAGTCCCACACGTTTCGGTTGCAAGTTGCAATGTCATGAGAGCAAGGAATTTTGATTTCCTTGAAATTTCCCACAAGTGCAAAATCCCGTCCGGTTGGGGACGTCAAAGTGCACTGTGAGTGTGTTTGACCCCGTCATGTTGAAATTGTTGGGAGGAGTCTGAACTACATAGATGCCTTGACGTCGATCAAGAGCTGTCACAGAATGCCCAACTGCCTTTTGTGACCACGGCTTCATCAGTTCTTCGCACTTGGTGGAGTACTGTGAAGGACCACTTCTAATTTCTGCTCCTGTCTCCAACCTATACTTATCGAATTTCTCCACCAATCGCCAATAGGTATGTTGCACAAGAGAAGCTATAGGAAGTGCACAAATACCTTTGAAAACACCATTGATGCTTTCTGCCATGTTGGATGTCAGGATAGACCAACGACGCCCACCATTGTAGTTATCATGTGCTAAACTCCAACGAATCTGATGTTGGTCCACCCAGCTATCACATGAAATATTTCTATCAGTGGCCACCTTCTTAAATTGCTCAACTTGACGATCGAACTTCTCCAAGCGTTTTTCTCCCGCTAACAAAATAATCAACCACACGGGGTAGATAAATTCATGACAAAATTACCTAAAAATAAATAACAAAATTAAATGAAGAAGGCTTACCGACTCGAAATAGTTGCTTATACATAATTCTGCTTTTAGTCTTCCTTTGCAAATTGCTTGCATAGTGTCGCATGCACCACCTCCACTCCCAACCTCTTCCGATGTTATTCATGGCTTCATAGAGTCCTGCATGTCTATCTGAGATGATGCATACATCATTTCGATCAGTCAAACCCTGAACGTGACGTATGAACCATGGCCAACTATCAGTATTCTCAATCTCCACTATGGCAAATGCAATTGGAAAAATCTTCTTCCGGCCATCAAATGAGCTCGCCATGAGTAGCACTCCTTTATACTTCCCAGTAAGAAATGCCCCATCAACAACCATGACGCCTGGACAGTTCTTGAATCCATCTATACAAGGTCCATAAGCCCAAAATACTCGCTGAAATATCGAATGGCCTGGTTGAGTCGAAGGAACTCTTACCCAATCAATCACCGATGTTGGCATTTTTCTCTTGACCACCCGCAAGAATGTTTGCAAAAAATCATAGGATTCTTCCCAATTTCCATGCAACTTCTCCAATGCTCTTTGTTTCCCATACCAAGCCTTCTTGTAAGTAACTTGCACATTAAACTTATCTTTCAACTCGGCTTGCACAGTTAGAACACTCAGATTTGGTTGGGCACGTACCAAATGTTTGACGGCTTCAGATATCACGTCGACATCAAGATGGCGATGATCCGTCGGTTGAGTCGTACTGCTACAAGTATGCACCAACTCGACCTTTCTCACGCTCCAATCGCCTCCCACATCTCGACATCCAAACCGCACCATCCAAGGACATTTGTCCTCCTTGTGCATCAAACATCTGATCTTCCAGATTGAAGGTGACGACTCCACCACGTTATACTGAAAGTTGCGTTGTAGTGCATAGTGTTTAATCGCCACCTGTGCAGCTTGTTTCGAGTGAAATATTTGCCCCTTGTAGAATTCTCCATCAAAACCACCAACAGTAGACCCCGGAATTACGCCATATGAATCAGCATATGATAATTCCTCGTCCTCTTCATTACCCTGCAAGTAAAAATATGGAGGATAATTAGGTAGTTCTCCTCCCTCCCCGTCGTCGTCGTCGTCCTCCTCCTCATCATCGTCTTCCTCATCTCCGTCATCACCGTCATCATAATCATGATCGGATGGCATGCTCCATGTGTCATCACCGTCATCATCGTCTTCCTCTCCATCCCGATCCTCACTAAGCTCAGCATGTATCTCAGCACCCAAACAATAAGGATTTTGTGCCATAAAATTCCAAAGCACATTTAAGCTATCATCATCGACAATAGGCATTGCATAATGAAATAAAACACCATTCTGCCATTCTGGAAGACAGTAGGTGAAACCTGTAATCACAACACTATCTTGTACTGTTTCGTCTCTAATCCGTATTCTCCGAATTAGATGATCACAAAGTTTCTGATAGTTCACCCTGGATGGAATAGTCATCTGGAAACTTACACCACCAACAAAATGGACACCCAAATTGTCTTCTACTTTCTCTGATCTCCACCGAACAGCTAGTTCAAATCTTCTAAAACCACTACATAAAAAACAAACTCACTAATTACTAACTGGACAAAATCATTATGATGAATACATGGAAAAAAAAATTACGACTCTTACCTGTTATTAGCCATCTTCCCAGCAACCAGACAGCAACACCAGAGCTTTTTTCAGAACTTCTTTCAGTTTTTTGGTGATGAAGAACCGAAGGAAAGGTGCAGTATATATATGGTGATTGGGTGGTGCTGGAGTGGAAAAAAATGGCAGCGACAAAGCCCCAGTCTGGGGCGCCGACGCTTTTACCTTCTTAAAAGCGACAAAGCCCCAGTCTGTGGCGGCGCCGCTGTGTTTTTGTTTTTAAAAAAGCACCTAGCGGCAGCGCCTGAGTCTAAGGCTTTGGCGCTTTAAACATATCAAAAAACACAATATTCTTGTAAATAGTTTTTAAACCACTATATTCGTGGTAAATTAAAAAAAAACAATATTTAGGGAATTTACCCCACTTTCTTTGCCCACGCTTTTGGAGCTCCCTATAATTATAATAATAATAATAATAATAATAATAATAATAATAATTCCATTTCACATTTGAAATTTTTTGGACAAAATCTCAATTCATGTTTCTATCTATATTTGATTGATTTAATTTGACTTTATTTATCCATCATATAAATGAAATACTAAGAGATTGTTTAGTTATAATACGATTTACAGATTTAGTGATCTCATTTACAGGTGCTCAACGTCCGGAAGGGAACACACTCATGAGAATCACGGTTCAATAAGGAACGATATTTCATATCAAGGGTCGGACCATCATTGCATTTGGTCCGATCCAAATTTCAATTCTTATTATTTTTCTTCACTATTTATAAAATTCATAAAACCAAAAATTAAACAGCATTATATTCAATTGTATAGACCAGCTGAAACACATATTTGATCGAGTACGTTGTCACGCTTACCTTCGATTTTAAGATTCTGCCGTAAAAAAAATTGAAGGAAAAGGAATACTTGAGTAAAGAGCAAGGAGAAAAAGCCAAAATGGATGACAAAAATATGAACGAGCCAAAAGAATAACCGTAGGGAATGAAGAGTAATTTAATTTCCCATAAAATATTCTTCTTTACATTGCCACGCAACACGAGCTTTTGACGGGTGTGACCCTATGGACCCGAAAAATCGGGGCGGGCAGACTAGTACTCAACGTGGGCCCACACGGCTTCTCTGCTGAAACCTTTAAAATGCAGCAAAGTTCGTTGTCTCCTCTCTTTCCCCATTCTGCCTCTCGAATCGCATCTCCTCCCCCAATCACAACACAAATTTCCCTCCGCTCAATCCCTTTTCCCGGCGGCCAAACACCCCCAACCCAAAATCAACAATGGCGGAAGCAGCAACCTCCTCCCCCTCCTCCGCCGCGGCCTACCTCCAGAACATGGACGATCTGCGGAAGGTGTTCGACAAATTCGACACCAACGGCGACGGCAAGATCTCCCTCTCCGAGCTCGCCGACGTCCTCAGATCCATGGGGACGAGCTACGCCACCCCGGATCTCCAGCGCGCCATGGACGACATCGACACCGACAAGGACGGATTCATCAACCTGGAGGAGTTCGCGCAGCTCTGCCGCTCATCCTCGGGGGCCTCCGCCGCCGCCGAGCTCCACGAGGCTTTCGATCTGTACGACGAGAACAAGGACGGGCTCATCTCCGAGTCCGAGCTCCACCAGGTGCTCAACCGCCTCGGGATGAAGTGCTCCATGGAGGAGTGCGCCCGGATGATCAAGGGCGTGGATGCGGACGGCGACGGATGCGTCAATTTCCAGGAGTTCGAGAAGATGATGGCCACCGCCAACGGCGCTACCCCCGTCAACTAGGCTCGATTTTGAAATTGTCCCCCCGCCCGCCCGCCGGTATCTTCTGCTTTTCTCCGTTTCCGCGTTTTTCTTCTTTCTTTTACAAATTGTGATGTTGTGAAATTCGAATCTGAAATCTGGAATACTCATTAGCGGGTAGCCATTAACGGATGCTTGCGGGGGTGATATTAGGTAGGTCACCCTTCCTTCCTTATTATATCTGACTCATACTGCAAGTACCACATATCTCTGATTAGAACCTTGTTGATGGATTACGGTCCTGATGTAATTGTCTCTTGTGTCTGAATAATGATTTATTGAAACATTACTACTGCATTAGGCTACATTCTTGGAACCACAAGCACTTTGTCCCATCCAAGTCGTACTTGACTTGAGATGGCGAATCATGAATAAGGTAGAACCGTTCTCTCACGGGCCTCGAACGATAATACGATTCGAGGTCTCACCAGCGTTCTATGAATATCCGACAAACCCATGAGAGCACGGTGGAGGTGAAACTGTGTTAGAATGTTGAGTGGCTGCAATGATGAATCAGTACTCTTTGTATGAGTTGGATGCTTTTAATGTGTGTTTAAGTGAATAAAGTGCGTTTAGGAGGGTTGGTTAATGTGGGTGGGATGATGATGATGATGCAAACATGGTGGAGATGTGTGTTTTAGCTCAGTTTAACAATGATTTAAACTTTTAGCTAGGGATTCCATGATTGTTTTGGCGTCACATGGATTCAGGCCTTGGTGGGTATGGTTCTAGTCTGGTTGGCTTGGCTTGGCTTGTGGGTGGAGAAAGTTGTTTGGGTGGTCAAAGTGTTGAATTGTCAGGTCAAAACCAGACTAATTCTGTAGTGAAAGGAGTTGCTGGCTGCATTAAAATTGAAGATGGAGGGATGGGTGCTGAATGCTGATGTATGGGTGGGTGGATTTGGTCCATTTTCATGCATATTTTTATTCAAGGGGAAGTTGATCGATGATGATGAAGATATGGCAATATCATAAAGAAGTGAGGAGGTCAGGTGACCAAAGAGAGAGGCGATGGATGGGCAATTTGGGAAACAAGAGAGTTAATGTGACTGGCTTGTGCCAGTTTGCTTACCATTTCAGGGTTCATAATTGGAGGGATTTAGTCAATTCCTTTTGTTAATGAATTGGCTAATCGGGCAAGTGGGGATTACTCTATAAGCTGGTGGTGTCAACTTGGGCGTCTGTCTGACTTGTACTATTCTGAAATTTTTTTACTGGGTTTCCCTTTTCGGCCTCTAGAAAGTGTTCCCAGAATCTTCTCAGGCATAACAGACACACAGGTTTAGACCAAATGGTTTGCTCGGACGACCGCTGTATCGTAGTACAGGAGTTAAGTGATTACAATTTCTAATCTGATCCAATCTTTTTGAGCTGGGTATTACTTGACTCACAGCAGTGTCGAGTCGGAGAATGGGTACCACTTTTGCTCTGTCATGTCATCTCATGTGCTGCTCCATCTTTCAAATATTTAGACTCGATTACTACTTTTACCATCTCTAAATCATTTAAAAAGTGTTCTTTCTGTATTCTTCCAATATAATTAAATATTAACATTTTTTAAAATCAAACCACATATAAGAATGGGTCGATCTGCCCGTCCCGTATTTGCGAGAAAATTATCCAACCTAAACTACTAAGTGCGGGACGTATATGAGCATTGAGGTACATATCTGCGCCATTGCTATCACTAACAAGATTTCAAGTTCAATAGTCTTCCCTACCAACATTACATAGACATCGCATGTGTGATTTGGCATCCATACCTGGTATCCTTTGATCGCATTGGCGAGACTAATTGTTTGAAGTTTAATAATTGATTGAAAAGCATTATTATGAAGTTGTCAAAGTTAGAATCATGTCAGCATTTAATTTCTTCAGGGATGGGGTTAGTGGTTGGTTAAACCCATTACAATTTTATCATTGGTATTGCTCCAAAAATATTGGTAGTTTGAGAATTCGTGCATTTGAAATGAACCGATTGTTCCAACAGACAACATCAAGCAAGAAAATACTATATGAATGTCGTGATCAATAACAAAGAATAGAACAAAAAGGAAACATCATGGAGTATTTGTGTAATTCTCAGCTAGTCTAGTCTTTTCAAGCATTTGAACACATCATCTTGCTGTAAATGCATACTTTGAAAACGAGAGGCTATAAAGTATAAAGTGCAAAAAAAAAACCTTGAAACATAGAAATTGGTGATTAAAAGATGCGTTAAGTAGCAGCAAATTAACTTATCTATAAAGCTATGAAATCGTTAGGGGGCTATATAGTCCGGTCCGGTTAAATTGGTCCAAATTGATCCGGTCCAGTCCGGTCTTTTTGAAAATATAAGGACCAAAACTTGGATTGTTTACAGTCCGGTCTTGATCCGGTCCGGTCCCAATTTGGTCTTGGTTTTATATTGAGCTTGTGGAGATTTGAGTGGCCTAAGGCCTGAAAGGGTGAGGAGTTGGTTAAGTTTTGTACTAAGTGCAAAGGTTTGTGACCGTTTATGCAAATTACCATTAAGTTTTGGGTGTTGAGCTCTCTTATCTGGTTTTTATCTAGTTTTCGATCCGGTCCCGAACGGTTTTTTACCTCAAATCCAAGCCCAAAAATTGGATTGGATTGTTTACTATCTGGTCACAATCCGGTATCGGTTCGAGTTATACGATCCGATTTCGGATAAAACCAAAAAAGCCGAACCAAATAGCCAGCTCGTGATAGATAGGATCATGTGTTGCCCAATACAAAGAACAACTTTTTTTTTAAAGAGATGCACTTGTGAGGGAGAAAGAATCTTGCAAATAATTAGGCATAATTATTGTGTCTTTGCCGTAACCCCGTCATAATCCTCCTTTCCATTTGGTTACGGTAAAGTTCCTTAAAGCTTAATAAAGCAACATCGGCTTATTAGCCTCATCATTAACACCGTGTTGATACCTAAAATTATTTTGGTCCGAGTTAAATGTTGCGGCATTTAATTCGATACTGCGTGATAGAAAACGATGCCATTTAGAGACAACCAACGACACGGAGAGGTTAAACGGCGCCGTGAAACTCAAGTAAGTCCAACAACACCATGACACTAGTAAACAAAGTTGTTTAGCTGAGAGCAACGTCGTGGATTAAAATGCGACCATGCTTGATGAGGTCTAGCATTACCGCGTCGTTTTCTCAAATTGGTGTTGTGAGGTTCGCGATGCCGAGGGTGCAAGCTCAACGACGTTGCAAGGTGAGCGTGAACCGAACAATCTCGTGGTACTTGAAATGACATTGATTAGTTAAAAACAATGTCGTGGAATAGGAAAGCGACGTTATTTAGTCCAAAACAAAGTCTCGAGTTTGGTCAAATTGATGACTGGGTTGGAGTGTCGAGTAGTTCAATATCACTGCGATGTCAACTAGGCGGCAAGGTTAGAGCCCAACTCAATAACGTAGTGAAGTTGCGAGCTTGACAATACCGCGAGATCGAATAGTGTCGCGGAATGGAAAACGACACTGTTTAGTGAGAAACAACATTGAATCTCGGTACATGTTTTTGAATTTGACAGGGTTGTAAAACGACATTGATTAGTAAAAAGCAACATTGCGCGGGGCATCAACAACACCGCGATCTTGGCAAACGACGTCGTGTAGTAGAGGACAACGTCGTAAGCCATGAGCCACTATTGTTGGTAAAAAATGGCGTTGATATTGTGAGTTCAGCGGTGTCGTAAGGTTGGGAGCTCAACACTTCAGCATTGTTTTGTTACGCCACTGTTTTATGAACAAGGGTGACTGTTGTTTGGCTTTAAGAGCCGGGATGGATTATCGAACCATGGTGGATAGCTACAAGATTGGCTCGACGTCGTTTTGGCTTAGTATTTACAAAGAGGCTTCTCAGTCGTGGGAGTTACGCAACAAGGTGGAAGTTACTTGCACGATTTAAGAGGAAGGGAGAACGTGGGAGAAAAAGGCGGAGCGAGGCGGTAACTGAGACTACGGAAAGAGGATGGGGTATAAACATCATAAAGAGAGAGAATCTTGGGAAATCAAAATCAAATCACAACGAAAAACACAACAAATCTCACATTACATGACGACATGGGCAAAGAGATAGTATGTGAGCCAAGTAAGTCTTCATCAAAAGCTTGATGATATCCAATATAAATAAGGAAATGAACAAATTAAGGAACTTGTTAATGGTAGTACACATCACACATGTGATGTGACCATTATATCTGTATCAAGTTTTTAGTATATCATGCTTCCGTGTTAGGCAGTTTTTCTTAGATTTCTAGTGTTTAGTCGGTCTCGTCGTGTGGCCTTTCCTTTTTCGTCTCTCTGTTTTAGGGTTCTTCTGGGTTTGTTCTCCTCGGGGCTGGAGCTTGCAGCTTGAGAAACTATATCTTGTGTGGTGGTCTTCTCTCAAGTTGGTGATTTCATCATCCATGGTGAATCCATTAATTGTTGTCCTTGTCCTTGCCTAGCCTCTCTGCTGCATTTGTCCTCCTTCTTATTCGGGTTTTAGAGTGTGGATGATGGAGTCTTCTCTGGTTTTGTTGTGGTGATTGTTCTTTGGATCATAGGGCTCCAACTTCTTATGCTCTCCTTGGACCAAGATGTGCTGCCTCTGCTCCCGTCGCCTTCTCAGCTCCGAACGATCCGATTCCCAGCCCTTTCCACCGCCAGGCAATTTCGAATTCAAGATTCACTGTGTTTGGAGTGTCTTCGAGCAACTCTCAGGAGGTGGCTTAGAGCGTTGTTGAGTTCAATAGCCATGAATTTGGCCGAGTCGGAGGAGCTGATTGTACTTGATGCCACTTTAGTTGTTATGGTTGCAGGGGAATTATTTTGGGTTTACAGTGTTTGGATCAAGTGTTCTGATCTAGTGATTTGTTCGAAGATGTGTTTCGCTCTTTGTTGTTTGTTCCTTGCAAGCACGGATTGGTTCAAACTTTTGTTTGGGGATGTCCCATCTTAACAGCGGCAGATCCAAGACAGGGTAGAGCACTG